TCGGGCCCGTTAAGTTACCGGGACTTTCGAGAAACGGGCCCCTGCTCTGGAGATTGATTGCAAACCACCTATACCCGTCCACCTCATTTACATGTGTTGGGAGGCTTTGAACATGATAGACGCTATTCTAAACACGATAGATGCTATTCTTATTTAATGACATGTAAATGAGTGGCCGGCTGAAGTCTCGCTCAAATGGAGCTAGATTTGTTTTCTAATCAGCAGTGAGCTTTCAGAAGGGAAAGTCGACTAGAGCTCATTCAAACCCATTTTTACCGCCGTTCCCTTAACGCTTAATTAGCCTGCCGTCTAAGACAAAACAACAGAAGATACATTTGCATAGCGAAGCTAATTGGTTTTTCGTATGATGCACGATCCTTCGCAGTAGATAGCGCTATTTATGCAATAGCGAAAATCATACGTATTTAACACCGCAGTTCAAAATATATGAACTTCATATATTCATTGTATCTAATTGGTTTTGTTAATTACGTAGTACGACGCCTGCCGGATTGGACGTAATAAGGAGCTCCAGCGGTGGAAAATTTGCAATTACAGGTAAACAAGTCAGTGATTGGCTCAGGTAGTTTAAGTTATTTGCCTTAATTTAATTTTTCTGTCGTAAACTTCGAAGTTGACTGTGTTACCGCTTAAGTGCGATGCCGCAAACGCTGCGCCGACAATTTTATGTCTCAACGTTTGGTTATTTCGTAGAGTTAATTGAGACATTCGAAGGAGTAATGGTTTTTTAGCAGCTACAATAAAGTTACTCCTGTGCTATTGTTAGGTAATGGTTTAAGATATTCACGGTCGTGCAGAATAAGTTCTCTGAGTCGCATCTCTATTACAGAAGTTGAAGTTGATTTCTTGAAGAAAGCATATAACTGATCTCCGGCCTGACTGACCGTCGGTCTTCTGGAAGAAAAGTTTTGCTTACCAGAGTGGTCAGATCATGCGAAAACGACTTGAAACGATGAGCAGTGAAGGATCAATTCTTTTGGCTTGTGACAAGCGTAGAACTAAATATCTGCAGCCTGGGGTATCCGCGCAAAAATTCTCTTTTCTTGCTGAGATGGAAAGTTACCGATATTTAAGACTAATTATAACCAAGTTTCAGTCCACGGGCATCCGTTTCAGATCTGTCAGCTCATGTCAAATCTTGTGTTCGTGGAATCCTTGCCGATTCTTCAAGTTACCTTATTCTCTCTACATGTAACACTGCATAAAATATTCTGTATAAGGACCCTTCGTTGGGGCGTATACAGTCAGCATGCCCAATTTTACACGGTGGATATAAGGATGTGTAAGGTCCCTATCATGATCAGTACACATCAGGGTATGCTAAGAAAATACCAGGACCGTATACACATGTGGTATGATTTCTTATATTTCAGTATTCATGCCATTATACATCCTGAATACTGTATGTGACAGGAGATATAGCTTAGGGTACAAAGCAGTGTATGTACATATTGAACACTACTTTGAGACGAATGAATTCTTGGAATATCTACGGACTGACATGTTTTTGTTTGGACTTACTGCATTTTGGGGCTGAATCAATCCAATTGTAAGGGCCAAATTAGACCATGTAAAGGGTGAATTTGAAAAATACTGAGGCCACTTTCGAATTTAAGGGGGGCCAAAACAGCCCCCAAAAATTCAGCCCTCTCACAAATGGCCCCTTAAAAAATAGCCAATATTTCAGCTCCAATGCAAGTCAAATTCAGAAGTGGAGGCTCTTTCCTCTGCACACTGATTTCCCCCCTTACAGTCAGATGATGAATATACACTGCATACTTTACCTTTCAAATACTAATTTATTTAATTCTAGGTATTGTTACTGTTAAAACCTTTTTAACAGTATTGTTATTGTTACTGTTAAAACCTTTTTAAAAACAGACCATGATTTTAAAGTTATAAAGAATCTTAATTGTGGTATAAATGGACAAACATCATTTGAAAGAATAAATATACACATTTTTAACTTTAATGCAACCATTTTCTAAATATATCTCTTCACTAAATCAGTATACTTTTCAAAATTGCAATCATTGCAAGAAATTACACACAAGAGACACTTGTAAGTAAAGCATCCCTTTTCAATGACTCAACAAATGTGGTGTGAGGCAGCTTATAATCAAGATTGACTGAAGTTTTTGAAGTACAGAAAATTATTAAAATAACACAACAGCAATAAGTGGTCCTGCTCCTGTACAAGAATATAGATTTTGTTTGATTTCTGCATCAGAAAAACAAAGAGTCTTAGAGCACATTGAGTATTCTTTCAGTGGATGTGAAATTACATCCTATTTTACATTATTAAAATATTATCTTTCATCATGTCACTACCTCAGGCATTTGCCAATTAAGTGATTGAAAAAGGAGGAAACAGTAACAAGAGTCTGCCTGCACCCAATTTCAAGCAATAGTTGCTCTAAAAAATAAAAATTGCCTTTGACTGATTGTAAGAGACATTAAAAATATAAAATGAGCCAAGAAACCCAATGACAGCATCAATAACTCCTTCTTGTGGGAGCTGAGAAATAATACTCCCCTCTGTGACTATATACAGGAGATCAATGTCA